TGTCATTAATTTAGAAGAAGAAAACGCAAAGAAAAAATTTACCTCTTCTAGCCTCGCCTTAACCAGGTAAGGGTTGAAGGAGGCGATGAATCAATAACCACCTGTCTAGGTCTCACTAATGCCAAAGAAATTCTTATTAATTATTTTAACTCATTTTTCGATTTCAGACATTGAGTATTGCATTCATTTGTAGGACACAGCATAGAGTATGTGATTGCAAGAAGCTATTTTTTGTGGTAAATCATAAAGGTAAAGATAGAAAAGGAGAGGGCCCCTGAGGAACATCCTGCTTTACTGGCAATCACGAGATCTCATTTTAATGATATTATGTATTTTCATAATCGCTTAGTTCTCTCCAGGAAGGACAGGAGAGACCAAAAAACCATCTTTTGAAGAAGGATGACACGGTGAAATCAAAAAGTGCTAGAACAGTGACCATGCCACCGACCAAACTCCTTTGGACATCACTCAACTTAAGCAATGCTGTTTCAGTTCGGGGGGGGGAATATATATATATATATATATATATATATATATATGAAGGGGGTTGTCCCCCAATTCCTTTTCCAAAAGAGTACTAGGTCATTCACTAGCTGTCGTTAGTACAATTCCATTCCCTGGGTTTTCTTTGCAACCCAGAATATGTCTCCATTGAGCGGTTGAGTGGTTCGCGGAGGATATAGGTGGCTGTTTCTTCCTCCTCACTGCATAATCTACAGACGGGATCGTTATTGAATGATGTGTACATGTTTTCTAAGATGCCAGTCGTATAGTGATACCTCTGAGTGAGTTTGCTAGTCTTGGTGAGGATTGTTTTACCATACTTTTACTGTGAATAGCGTCTCTAAAGTTTAGCCACTTTTTTTTAAATACGTATGTAGGATGAGGGAGGAGTACACAGTATTAGGAAACACTTGCAACACAAAAAAAATACGTTTTATTATTTAGGACGATAGAACAAGGACCACACGATATTAGGCCGACACGAGTCACAACACTGCACAGTCAGTATGTAAAATTTACTTCCTCGCTGGAACTGTCAGCCGTTCCTCTAGTCGGCTTGTCACACTGGCGACTAAATCAATGGATCCACGTGTCCATCCTACATGTATGATGTAGGATAATATTTTATATTAAAATGCAACAATTTTTGTTGCTATTACTATTATAAGGTGGGCCACGTGCTTGCTACTCAGTGTAGGTGGTTGAATATAATTTATGTTTATGTATGTATAATTGTTATTGTTTTTGAAGATATTTACTTACGCGATGCTCCTCCAACGACGAACAAGTTCTACCTGTTTCTGCAGTACTGAATGCTAGCTTACCTTCTTCGGTACAAAAAGTTGGAGGACGTCCCGCTAGGTCGAACCACCTACCTACAGCATCTTACCTTCCTGTTTCATCGATTCAGGCAAAACTATTTCTTAATTATCAAATTCCAAGCATTAAAAGTCGAACTAGTAATCAATTTTTATATACCGCTTGGGATTATGGAAGAAATTTGAGGTATAGAGTTTCACATAGTAAATTACCTATCGTTTCTTACAATCTGCCTATTGTACAAGAGTTACAACGCCTATATTTGTAAGGTTTGGGTTAATTTGTTTTTCTAAGTTTTGTCATAAAAGGGGGAAAATAAAATTAAGAGATGAAATTAGGCTTGGCATTTTATCCTTCCAAGTTGTTTATTAAGTAAACCAGAACTGATATTTTTTGAAATATGTTGTTTCTGTTAAAAAATAAATAAATAAATAAAATAAAATTCTGCTTGAACAGAGATGCAATATTTTTTAGCAACTCTGCCCGGCATTGGTTTTTTTGCGCAAGACGGCGCCGATATCTTGCGCCACCCCTTTGCCCGTGCAACGCACAGCCCCTCTAGGGTTTTTAATCAACCCTCCATTTGCTTTTGCAGCTCGATTCTTAATCAAACCCTGTACGTTCTTCACATCGATTTTCCCTTACACTGCAAACGTGGGTAGCTCCTTTCTGCAATTTTGTTAACAGCGAAAACCGCGTTTGTCAATATCTGACGTTTCAATCAGAAATAATTTTTGTAACAACTAACCAAGAAAGAAGCAGATAAAGCATATACTAAATAGTCATACTGAAGAAGGCGGAACACGTTTGACAGATCAACACAGCGATAGGGAGACTGCTGGGATAATAATGAAAGCCCAAAGTTCGAAGAAAGCCCTTCTTGACACAATGAAAATTGTTGCCACTTAGTATTTTCGGGTTATCATATTGTTGTATTGTGTTAGCTACAGTTGTTCGCATTCATTCCATGATAGGAACTATCCACAATCAAAAAATCTAGTCATAAGCAATGGTCAACCACATCTATTGGTCCAAGAACCTTTCTGTTTCATAGTTAGTGGAACAAACCCTAGGACAGAATCAGAAAAAAGATTCGCCCAAGAAAGACTCACCTTAACGAGTAGAAATTACCGGTCACAATTAGAGAAATACGTGGTAGTAAATATACAGAGCAATATATATGAAACTAATTTTAGTTTTAATTGTCTACATTTATTTTTTCATAATCGAAGTATAGAAGAATATGAGAAAATTGAGGTACAGGTCGCAAACATAATTATTTATTGTTTTAAAGTTCTTTTATGAAGAAAAGATCAAAACCAGATCGTTTGAAACACAACATTATTTCAAATCTTCTAATTCAGCTTCTAATCGTGCGACATCGCAAGCAGTGTAAATAGGTCGTACGCTTATCAATCCAAGTAAAGTCAATGGCAGCTGTTATCATTGTGATTTTTACCTTCTAATCGTGCGACATCTCATCGAATAGCTTGCAGTGTAATCAGGTCGCACTTTGACCCGTTCAAAATAAATGAAAGCTCCTTTCATAGCGCTTTCAGTTTCTAATCACGCGACATCGCATCGCTCACAGAGTAAACAGGACGCACGCTGATACATGCTAAGTCCTAACGATCCTTCCTTTGTGATTTTTACTGGCACGACATCGCCCCTAGTTTATAACGTTAACAGACAAAACCATCGAAAATCTACAGCTTCAGCTATTCGCAGACATCCACGAAATATCTATATATATATAACCAAAAAATATAAAAAAATGGGAGACCGCAGTAGCCGAATGGTCAGGGAGTCCGATTCGTATTTCCAATGCTAGCAGTTCTGAGTTCGAATCCTAAAGCAGGCTCTAGTGCTTCAACCGTTGACGATGACATCAAATCAAGCTCTTGTCACAAATAATGCACGATCTATGATACGAAACATCGCAGAGAAAATAAACATACCTCATAGTTTCAACGCATCTGAGAGGAGTTGGATATGTTTGGGGTCGGCGATTCCATTCTAAAACGCAAGTAAACTATTCATTTTTAAAATGTTTAATAACTGGGGATGAAAAGTGGATCCTTTACGACAATGTTCAGAGAGGAAAAGGCTTGGGAAAACGTATCGACCCTCCGTTAACAACTCCAAATTCGGATTACATCCCATGAACATTAGAAGGGGATTTATCATGAGCTTCTTTCACCGAACCGAGCTGTTAATTACAGTGTATACTGCAATAATTAGAGCGATAAAACTCAACAATTAGACAACCGGCATTGGACTAGTCCACTTGGATGGCGCTCTCCCCACGAGCCTTTGCAGACGCGCCAGAAATTGGAGGTATTCGCCTAACAATGCAACTTCGGCTCTGAAAAACTCTATAATGATGATGAGGAGTCATACCATTTCACAATACCTTTTACATATTTTTCAAATTACTGGGGTCTGCCGTGATTCGAACTCAGAACTGCTAGCCTGGCCAATACAAGTCGGACGCCGGCTCCCCTTAATCGTTCATTAAACGTCCACTAAGTGAAATTTTGTTCACAGACGCAATCATTGCGATGTATTCTATATTTTTTAAATATTTTGTAGCTAAAAATTAAAAAATATAAATAACAGGAAAAGGACAATAGATGAAGACGTAGTTTATCCGAAATATCACTAAATTTATTTGTTTTTAAATCTAATTAAATGTTTGCTTGGTTCTATTCTAGGATACACAAGTATGATATAATTACAGAAGTCTAAAACAATCTTACAAAATATGACCATAATTTAAATCGCAGAAAACAAGTTTAAATTAGAACTACAAATATCTATAGTGATTGAAACTGTTACGAAATTACTGTAGTTTATCTAAGAGAGGGCGATGTTAAACATATTGTATGGCAATACATACCATGGTCTTACTCTGCTAACGGTAAAAGGCCAAATACAATTAACAAATACATAACTTTGCCCATATTCATTACAAAAATTATTATTCTTTTCTCAATACCATTTTTGTTTTAATATCATAAACATAGTTTATAATTATTTGTCTTTTCACGTGTACAAAAATATTTAAATTAAGCTGATATACACGCCCAGTAACATGCTACCAATACAAGTACAACAAGAATACATACAAGTTCAAACGTTATCGCCGCTGATAAGAACGACGTTTTTTTCCTCAAAATTTTCAAAATAAAAATTGTAAGACAAAAATAAATCTTTTTCAAATATTTTTTTACATATTGATCATAATTACGGATATAATATAAAGGTTCACAACATGGCGATATGATGAAAGCACTCGCTGATCAACGATCGTAGAACTCGATGTTTCTTTGTGAAAATACTTTAGATTGGACGTAACTATATTCCAGTTGTCTAAAAAAAAACCTACTCTTGTTATATTTAATTTATAGAATTATTTCATCACTCACAAAGATGCTGTTTTATCGCGAATAATACTTATTCTTGCCATCGAATAGAATTCTCGAGCTTTCACTTAACACACTTTTTTATTTGTGTCACAAATTAAATATTAAATACATGTCAAAACAGAAGGACTATTTTGAAAATAATTGTACCATAATCGAAAGCGTCAGTTTTTAAAAATAATCACCTTTCTGATAATATTAATCATTTTAACACATAAAACTTACTCGATTANATATATAAATGTCCAAATAACAAAATATTCGATATTTACAATTGTGTGGCTGGAGGTCGATTGTGTAAACCCTGTATCCGAACTTAAAAGTTTATTTTTAGTCATAGAGCATCTACATCAGCTCGGCGGGCACTAACCTAAAAATTGTCACACTGGCACATAAAACCACATTGAATTATCTTAGAACAGGTATTTACAGATGAATCGATGAGAAATCAGTCCTCATTCGTGGATATTTATTTAATCGTGCTGGGTTTCTTCCATTAAAAGATGGTGATGAAACCCAAGAAGCTGGGATCACTGAATCCTGGGCCAATAATTCGTCGCGAGGGTGTGCGGGTCCGGTCCTTGGCTCGGGATCTGAACAGGGACGGACACACCGGCTGATATCACTCCTAAAAACAAAATCGATCATTAAGTCTTCATTTATACTCACTGAGTTTCTGTTTTAAATGTTAGACGGATCGACCACTTTTTTTCTCACAAATAATCTGGATCTCGGTTAAAAAACAAATTCAGTTGTCATTTGTCAAGATTTCGACCTATTTTAAGGTCACCATCAAGGCAAAACAATCATAGAGATGTCTACAAATTGACGTACGTTTTTAAATGATGGTACCAAATTTCTCTGAAGACCAACTCAGTCCCAATATTGCCAAGGACTCTCAATGCCAAGACAAGTCACAGTCGTTGGTAATAATATAATTAATCTTAATCCTTGTAAATGAAAATAAAGAAGATACAGGAAATTGAATTTGGTCAGCCTGACGGTGAAATCGACACGGACAGTTGTAAACAAGACAAGGTCGATTATAAATTTGTATCTTATGTATTGGGCACTTAACTAGTAAGCAGAATAAACTTGAAGGAAGTTGATCAAACAATCAGGCGGAGAAACTTGCAGTGCTGAAGGCAGTGGACTGGAGTTACCAAGATGAAAATGATTCTTTAATAAATTTTCTAATAAACGCTGTTTTCTCGAATCAGAATAGATTCCATGATCAACATAATTACTATATTCCATTTATGGAGAAAATTATATGTCTAATCAATAAGATGAATCAGAAAGGGAAGAGTAATTAAGATTAATATGGGTGCATTCTCATGACGGATCAGTTGGAAATGAAACAGCCGATGGTCTAGCTAAAAATGCTTCACAAAAAGACTTACCTACTACCTACCACCTCATCCTCGCTATCATCTTATATCTAAACTGGAGAGAGGTAGCTGGGTGGAATGAAATCGAAATTGGCAGTCGTCGAAGAAATTAATCTTATCTCCCGCGATACATGTTCTTGCGACGGTCGTCCTCCACAAACAGTCCATCACTTATTGTATGACTGTCTACAGTGCCTGACAGGAGTGCACTGATCGAAAGTATAATTAGAAAAGGATTTTCTTAGCCCTTGATCAAGCAACCATCTTTGGACGAATAATAAGAAGAAAGAAAATCTGGTAACATATAATACTTATATATAGTAACATCCAAGTCCTTGGTAATGTTGGGACTGATGGAGAGTCGGTGTTCACAAAAGTTTGATCCCATCTATTAAAAACTTAATTATGTCAATTTTTTGACATCTTTAATATTGTTTTGCTCTGATGATGACCTTAAAATATGTCGAAAACTAGGCAGATAACGATCGAATTTGTTTTTTTCATCCGGACCATACCGAGATTCAGATTATTCGTGTATATTAACTGACACCGTCAGAAGGAAAATCGATTGTCAGTTTTCGGAAGACACACAAAGAATGTACAGTAAAGTTCACCTAATAATATATTTTCGTTAAACTCTAGTTAATAATATATTTTCAATAAAAGAAGTTGTTACATTCTGCTCGTATATGTCAACCAATCGATGTATCAACCTGAATCCACCCTAAATTGTAACCGTGTAGAAACATCACGTAACCCAGTAATGAGATTCTTTAATGGTGTAAATTCTGGCTAGATTATAACTATGATCGATTGCAACCGTATTACAATCTAGTCGTGTTGGTAGAGTCGATGAGAGGATAACTATGATCGACTGGCAAAAGTCTATCAACTCCCAAAGATCATACATCATTGGAATTTAATCACGGTCGGTTCAATTCGATCCGATATCATTTTCATACGAGATCATAAGAAAAATTGCAAACTAGAAATTGCGTTTACGTTAAATGTTTAACAAACCAGTTGTTCGTTCTGTTCAACTTAGCGCGAAAGAGTGATCATTCGTTTTTCTCCTACTCATTGAAATTACCCAGTCAGAAGCTGAGCTCCCTTTTCTGGGGATTTTGATCTTCGACTGTCCTAATCTCTATCAGCATTAGCAGTGTAATTAATAAGAACCTCTTTAGTTGATTTATAGTGGGATATTCTTTGAGTTGTTTACTTGTTTATTTATACGGTGTAGATATTCTGAAGTTCTTCTAATCCGGGAAAAGAAATAAGCAGTCCTACTAGAACGATCATGAATGCTTAGTAATGTCAAAACAGGTCGTATATCGTAATCAAATCATCTGAATATCGCAGGGAAACAGCTGGATGTTAGTAAAGAAATGTGAAACTTACCAGTTCCTGTTGTGGGAGTTGTGGGCGCAGGAGTAGCAGTGTAGGGCCCGGTCGAGGGCGACTGATGAGCTACTGCCGGATTGCAAGAGACTCTCGGGCTGTAGCTAGAGGATAGGGAATGTAGCGGGTCGTGGAACATGTAAGGATAGGCACCGTGATGCTCCCGAGCTTGCTGCAAGCATGAGCTGCTCAAACTCGTGCTGAAACAGAAAATGCCTGTTAAACCGAATAATCTTGCATTCTAAACCGAAAATACGGATTGTAGCGATTCCTACCTGTATGACTCCGTCATAGTTGAGATCGGCTGAGGTATCGATGAGTACATAGAGTTGAAGCCCGGGTTGATGTTGAGTCGACTCGACGGCGCTGGAGGACTAGCTGATGATCCGACGCCGTCGCTGCCTCTTCTTTGGTTTCTCAGTTTTTCTTCCCGACGCCATTTCGCCCTTCGATTGGAGAACCACACCTAAAACGAAACCTAAAATCAGTCGGGAAATTCCACAGTCGTTTGAAAAATCGTCGGAAATCTGCCCTCGGACTCCCGGAGACGAATCTTATACCGACTGGAGCCAATTAAAATTACAGAAATGCCTGAAGGATTCCACCGGCCCAATGGATCGCGAGAATGATCACATATGTTAAATGAGACGATATGGAATGAGTTAAAAAGAGGGGTGAGTGCGAGATTAGTCGCCAAGCCCTATGATGAATCAGATGCCCGCCCTTCTTATTGCCCGAGTATTACCCTAATAGTTGTCGTCCATAGGGTGGCCGACGACATATGGAAAGGAGATATCATTTGTCATGGACTTACAAGAACTCGGGAACGTCATCACATAGCCTAGGACTCGTCTCAGGGAGCCCCATATCAAACCAAATTCGTAAAATTATTAAGTTGTAATAAAAATCAAAACATGAGAACTTTATACTGACAAAAATTAATTAAATTCGATTGGAAAAATCAAAGTTGATGATAAATTTGCCACTGAATGAATTCGCAATGGAATAGTAGAGTGAAGTATTTGTCATTGTGTTTAATGAACAATACCACACGAAAGAGGGTTATTATTGCCTTTTAATTATGAAACAACAAATATGTTACATTATGTTATTTTATCGTGTTATAATCGTTGATTTGCGCCAAAGAATAACATTTAATTTGTATCGACTGGAGATATTATATGTCGGTTATTTATATTTCCTATTTTCTTGCCTCCCAATTAGCGGATATCATCCGGATGGATTTTGTGAGACCATGGTTCAAATCAGCTCACTCTATTGGCCAGAATAGATGTTGTCCAAACCTTTTTAGGTTTAATTTATCTTAGCATTCTAAAAATACTGAATCGTTAATTTTAAGCAACAAGCTAATGTTCTGACAAACTTTTTCGCTTTTTTATAGAAAAAAAATCAATATTATAAAGAGTCAGGCAGAAAAGTGCACCGAAAGGGGAAACAATACAACTTTTCAAGAATGTTACTTTTGAACTCTACTATTTCAGATGCTGGCTGTTTTTTGTTTAAACTAATCACTCGATACTATTGTTTCTCCATTATAGATCTATAAAACGCAAAATATAATTGTTTCGATATAATAAAGAGGCAGAAAAGCTCACCGAAAAAGTGGAAAGCATATCACTTTTCAGGAGCTACTTCATGATCGAGTTCAAATATCTCAGCGCCTTGTACTTTTTAAAAACAATTACTCGGTACAATTGTTTGTCATTATTGCTCTACGAAAGGAAAAAAAGTCATTTCAATATGACGAAGGGGTTTGGAGTAAAATGAGTAAAATGCACCGAAATGTGAAACATAACTTTTCAGGAGATGTTACTTCATGATCGAGCTCGAATATATCAGCTCCTAGTTATTTCTTCCAACTAATTCCTCCGTGCTATTATTTGTCTTTTATTAATCCGCAAAATGCAAAATCATTTCTATATAATAAAGAGTCAGGCTGGAAAGTGCCCCGAACGGTGAAACCATATTACTTTTCAGCTGATGCTACTTCATCGTGAAGAGAGACGTGGTACATTTGTCTATTATTTCCAGCAGGAGATGGGGTACTGACCCCGTAATGTCCATTATTATAGTAATAATGACAAAATGGGGGGTTGACCTTACAACTGTAAGGTAAAGATCCGGTTCGAATCCAGTGGCCCTGCAATTTAACTCGGTACACTTATAAATGAGCTTTTTATCAAAAACACCGACACCCTGTGGGTTGATCTTACCACGGCTGTTGCGAACCCTCGTAAAAATAATAATAATAATCATAATGGCAAAAAATTATCAATAGAAAGAGTTGGCTTTACCCATACCAACAAATGTATTTTATTTAGGAGACAATATATGGTATAAGCTTTTACTTTTATGCGTTTTGATTCGTTTGCATCAATTTAATAAACTCTTAAAATAATAAATTTAAATAAAGTCTGTTTTTGAATGATCTTTTAACTTGTCCATGTCACACTCAATGGACAATTTCACGTTAGATCCTCACTTGTGACCTCAACTTTTTTTGCCCATATAGTAAATATATCTGAACATTATACGAAAATTGAACAAGAGGATGTTCAATACTCAATACTTTTCGATTTAGAAAACGTGGTTAATGTGTCCTCAACCAATACAGACAAGTCGTATGGTTAAGATATCTTGAAAGCAATTATAGGATATCGTCCTGACGGATTTTGTGTGACAATCGTCCAAAACAGTTTACGCCTATTGGCCAAAATGGATGCCTTAGGGTGGCCGCCTACATATGGAGATGAGGAATCATTTGTCAAGAACCTCGGAATGTCCAACGCCCACTGGCCCAATTCATGTCACCCCTCGTCTAAAACCAAGGCTTTCCAAAGACATTTTCTGACATAAAGCATATAGGAGTAAAGACTAGAACGTGTATAATGACAGCTCTGCTACTTCAATAAGCGCGTTTTGAGTTACTTAGATAAAAGTCCGCTTCTTACGATATGTTTACAGTTTTAGAACAAACTAGAATATTAATAATCAAACTGTAGGAAAAACAAAAACCCTTTAGGCAGAATTTATATCCGAAATAATTACTTATTGGCCTTTATCATTTATAATTACATATTTAAGAAAAACGATGGGTAGTGAGGCAATTTAGCAAGAAAAGGATCAGTTCATCTTAAGAGAAATCCCTCGAAGCACTATCAAGATTAACGAAACTTCAAGTTCTAATTTAAAACGTTTAACTATGTGATTGTGGATGATCTTATAAGCAACCTAAATGAAAGAGGATTCTGACGCAAGGATATACATTGAAATTGTTATATTAGCCAGGGGAAATTCGCATCAACATTACAAGACCTCCAAAGAGCACTCAACTTGGTAGAGGAATAGTTTCACCCCTCAAAAAATACACTTATTGCATTTACCAAGGAAAAAACATTGAAATGCAATGATCTCTGATAAAAAATTAACCTGTAACTCCCACCTGCACACATCGTAATTAAACAGTAAAATCTCTCTAATGAACACAATAAGAACTATAGGTAAATCTTGGCGACTAAAACTGAAAATGATGGGAAAAAACTGAATGACCTCAGTAAAAACAAGCTACCCAAACATTAGGCAGCATTCAAAGCTGTCAAAATTATGTATCACAGGGGCATTGAAAAAAAAACCACGTTAATTGCACAAGAAACTCTGCTAAACTTACCTACATTAAAAATATTTATTCACGGGGACACGAGGAAAAGCTCATTTAGGCTCCCAAAACAATCAAGTTGGATGGGAACTTCGGGCACACATCAATAATTAATAAAATCAGACACCCACTCTTAGAAATGGGCATTGACTAAGGGATCCCACAACACTGTTTACAACAAGTCTCAACAGACTACAAAAGAGAAAAAGAATTCAGGAGGAAATAAGTTACAATGATATGGTATTAAGATGGCCTCAAAACAGTTGAAGGAACCGGCTCAGGTGTTTTCTGTACAAAGTACAACATGAGTTCAAGCTTCATATACGTGCCGTAACCCTTAGCAAATTTTAAATAAGGTTACAATGCCAAAAAAATCCTCGTACGATAGGATAGCTATCTTGGGTACCAGGATACAAGGGAATTTAGGAAAGGAAAAGGCAGACCCATTCGTCAGAGAGGATCTGCAAGACCATATATAGGTCCTGAACCTATTCTTGAGATAACAGAAAGAAACATAGAATCCTTCATCATAGAATGGACCCAAACAAGACAAAAGGAAAGTGGATAAAATCTAGAAGAGCTAGATACGTTAAGCTTATATAAAAACAACTTTCACCAAGACTGGCAAAGTCAAGGCAAAAGACAAGGCTAAATCAGAGGTGTGTCACGACGATATACCGGTCTCTATATCTATATAACATGGGTATATTCAATGACCCCATTTGTAGAAACAGCCAACTATGTCATCTTCGAATGCGAAGCAACCGCTCAATGGAGACGTAACCTGGGATACTAAGAAAACTAGGGAAAGGAATCGTAGCAATACAGTCAAGGACATAGTACTACTTAGGAGAAGGATCGATTCGATCGCACAGAACTAAAGTACTGGGAAAGTAAAATAAGCCAGAAGGCTGCAGTACTTGGGGAACAAAAGAACCCCCATTACCTAGTATCAACATTCATCATCATCATTAAAGGTTTAACTTATATTTATAATTCTGAAATGTATTGTTTTGGTTACGTTAAAAATTGAGATTATAAACATAGCACCAAGCCGAACAAGACCAGTTTATATTCAAAGCCATTTTCATGCTTCTTCGTGAAAGAGATTCTTTGAAAGCTCTCCGAAGGAACGGAACGTTTTTCTTCCTAATTGGATGTTATTTTTGAACAGAAAATTGTAAATATTCATGATCTAAATATTCATTTTTTTAAATTTTATGTACATTATTTTTATAGCCAAGTGTCTATGAATCGTCCATCCTGAACAATCCATTAAATCAGATCCGATGGCGGAACAACCGCCAGGGTAACAATAAATATAAATATAGGAAATGGTTGTGAAATATTTTATAGACTGGTACAAAACTCTTGGAAGAGAACGATAACGATTTGCTATAAATCCCTTGCCGGTGGACGATTTGGTAGAAGTGGACATGTTGATTCAGAAGAAACTAGAAAAAACGTGTAATTTTATCGCTCTAATGATAATTTGTTTACGAAAACAATAGTTAGTCAATTTTTTGACGATGTGAACAACCAATAATTTATTCGTTTTCAGCGTATTTTATCAATTATTCCCTGGTCCAATAGGAGGGGAGCGTATTTCTCTTCTTTTTTTATTATAAATGTATAGATACAAGTCTAATGGATTGACTTGATTTAAAAAAAGAAAAAAATGTTAGACCTATATTATCCCTCATTGGATCCTTTGCAGATGACACAGCCGTATTTTCTTGTTTACTATCTTCCAACGCCCCACCGTCAACGAATAGCCAAATGGATCTAAC